CTGTGCAAATTTCAAAAAAATGAACAGCAGTTGAGAGAAAGAGAGGATTTACCTTTCCGATCCTTTCAGGATTTCCATTCGTGGTCGAGTAAGAAAGCAAAAATGGCAGTGATTACCAGTGCACTGCATCGCACTGAACGGAACTCCTGTATGGGACTTGAGTTGGTTGATTCTCTACTTCTGTTGAGATTGGAATTGAGGAGTTGTAACTACCCTGGCCACTGGTTTGAGAGGGCGTTGAGGAATTTCAGTAGGGATAAAAACGCAGTTTGGAGGATGATCTCTCTGCTCCTTACCGAGAGAGACTGGGCGTAGGTAACTTGGGCATTCATGGGGTTTGCCTGACCCTCTGTACTGGCTACGAGTGCGTATAGCCTGGAATTGAGTGTATTGAGTGAGTAGTGTAGGATAGTTCGATGGTTTGGATGTGATTGCGGCATTGATAGAGGAGTAGTGTACATTTTTGGTTACGATTGCGTACAGTCTCGATTGGATTGTGTTGGATGAGTAGTGTAGGAGTTCGATGGTTTGGATTGGAGTGGCTTGCGGCATGGATAAACGTTTGGACCAGGGTTTGCCCTTTTCAGTTTGATGCGTAGCTTGGGTAGGAATTCGATGATTTGGATTGGTGTGCGGCATGGATAGATGTTTGGACCAGGGTCTTCCCGTTTCAGTTTGGTGCGCAGCGTGGGGTACTGATCCTGTCCGGTATTTGCCCTGACCAGGTAGCTCTGGGGTACAGAGGTACTGTGGCCAGGGGACATTTTCGTATATGTTTGGAATTTTGGATTTCCCGTACAATGAACCCGAATTCGGGACCTGTCCCTGTTTGGATAGTACCCGAACGGGACCTGGGTATCGCAGGTTTTGAACCCGGTTCCATCTCAGTAGTACCTTCTGACAATGGACCGGACTATTATGTTGACGGTGGTTAAATAGTAGGGCGCTCGAGTAGTTGTTCCCTTTCGCCTGATTGGCACCGGTAGGACTGTGAGAGATATGCATTGTGGGTGGATGGACATACGCAAACAACTGCGGGAGTCGCGGAATGGTGGTTTGTTGGCTTTGTCCGTATGATCTTTACTGCGTGCTTTCCGTGCGATAGCGTGCTTGGTGTGCAGTCATTTTCATCATCCATCTGACTTATATTCCAATTTTTTCATGCAACCTCTTTTTTTTTTTTCTCTCTCTCTCTCTCTCTCTCTCTCTCTCTCTCTCTCTCTCTCTCTCTCTCTCTCTCTCTCTCTCTCTCTCTCTCTCT